CACTGCAGACTTGCTAGAGAAAATATATATTTAAAGTTCATATGGCAAGCACATTATCTTGGCAATTTTATCAATAGCTTTAAAATTAGCAGTCTGATAGTATGGTAAAAACTGTGTGTGTTGTAATATATGAATTTCATTATTATAAAAAGTGACATTTTTAATCTCTCATTTGTCACTCAGGACCAAGTAATGTTTTCCAGTAAATGATCCTCACTATCTAAGAGCTTGGCAGCACCTCTTAGCCAAAACATACTGTAGGCTTTAATTAAGCATTTTACAAATGCTACTTTCCAATACTGCCAATAAAATGTCTGGGCTACTTTTACATAGTCTTAAAACATTAAAAATGTTCGAAAGAAAATTAGTTCAATATTAAACAAGGATTTTTATGTCCCAAGGAGAGGATTTGATTTTTAAGGCTTCTAAAATCTACTTGCCTTGCTGCCAAAAGCACATTTACATTTTAAACAAATAAAGAACACCTATTTCTACAGTGCTTTTTCTTCCACCTGTCTCACTTTATCCTATTTTATCCACTGTAATGGTTTAGATTAGAATATCAGACTTTGTACATATGGAAAAATGAAATTAAGAGATTTTGTTATAACTGGCGAGTCAATAAATTATTTGGAAAACCAAAGATACCCAACTTCAGTTAAGGAAATGACCATTAATGTAAATTTACTGAATGCATCTTCATTTCACTTTTCTTTCTTTCACTGTTTCCATGGAATCTAAATACATACACACACTATTTGTGTTTCAGAGGTAAAAATTAGCTAACTCTTATTCAGATCAGATTTAAAACATTGAATTTCAGTACAGATCAAACTATTTAATTCTAAGAGCCATGGCCAACAGTTCAATGTAATGAAAATTACCCAAGTTCTGGCAGACAGTTCACAATTATAACACTCTGAATTAATTACTTACCCAAAAAATTGTGACTACCAAATTCAAGAAAAAATTTCCCAATTTTTGACTGTATAATAATTTTTCATCAATAAGAAAAGAACAGATTGAACATCTGATTGAAGGGCAGTGTGTTGTGCTGCATGAACTAATGGGCTTGAAATCCTATGTATGGGTTTGATTTTCAGCTGTGCCACTTACCTCTTTGACTATGGAAAAATTCCTAACACTGGCTTTACTTCTAGTACCTACTATTCCCCAAAAAAATAATGAATGTAAATGCACTTTGCAAATTATGCAACTGTAAAGCATTTCTTCAATCAAAAGTTGACAATTTAACAACAGTCCCTTTTAAACCACACACAATATTCTGTATTTCTCTCTTTGCTGGTTATCTTAATATATTCCAACACAAAAAATTGGGGCTCACTTTAAGAAGCCCGAGTTTGTTCCCACAACATTTCCTTATCAATGACTCAAGTTCATGTTTGGCAATTAAAGAAAGGAAAAGAAATCTTGTTTGAGTTTTTATGCATGTTTGATATTCTGCTGTGTTCAATTAAAGTCCTATTCTTGTTTAAAGATGTTTTGTTAGTAGCCCACATTTTTACCCTGGAAGTATCACTCTTAGAATGAATGGAAATAAATAATGTTTGCCAATAACTTTAGTTAACCTTAGTGTAATAAATTCATCTTTAATTTTTATAGGTCAAATACTTCTAGAACAAATGACTGTCCAATTCTTTTGTGCCTAAATTAACATGGTGACTGAGAAATCTCTGCTATATGGTAATTTACTCTAGATAATAAGTCCAACACAACAAAAACAATTTGCTCTCAGCACCTATAATTTATGACAAGAGGATTTGGCAATAGTACACTGAAAAGAAAGTTACACTTCCTTCATGTTAATGGCAGTGTTTAAAATCCCAAAAAGTAATTATGATAATTTTTTTCTTGCTTTTGAGTACCAAGTGCTATCATAACATTGCTACTTTGGTTGACCTATTCGCTCACTCCTCCTACAGCTACTCTTATCCACCTATCTCTAGAATGGAAAAGTCAGTGAATACTTCACCTTAAGTCATTTCAAATTCTACACCAGATACAGCAATAAAAAGGCAAAAATGCATATGTGGGTCAAGAGTTAGACTAAACCATATAAGAAACTACATTCTCTTCCTAAATGCTAATGTGTATAACCCATGTGTTTAAAATGTGAAAACTTCACACTTTTAAAATTTCATTTATAAAATGGTCAAGACCAGTTTATATTTCTGGGTGCTTCTTTCTAATTGTCTTGAACAAATGGCTTTAAACCACTTACATATATGCAATGTGACTTGGGTAAATGAGATTACATATTAATTTTGTGTTACATGAACAAAACCATCTCACTGCCTTATAGTTTCACTTCATTTAACTTATGTTCTAAACAGATACCAACTATAAAGATCCCAACTTTGAACAAGCATATAAACCACTTTAAATAAAAGTAAAGACTAAGGAAAAGTGGGTTTTGAGAACAGACAACTTTAATTTAGCTTTGTGTTTCTAAAGTTAATAACAGTAATAGCAACAATAATAGTTAAATAATAATTCATGTACAACACTTAGTATGTACTAGGCACTTGCCATAAATTAAAATAACCTTTTGAGAGACATAACTGCTAATAAATCTTGTGCTTTTATTCCTTAATCAAAGCATAGTTTTTGTTTTCTAACATTAAATGGAGTTTTAATGTTTGATAGGCAGGTGAAGAGAGAGCAAAAATAGGTGTAAATTATTCTATAGCTTTATAGTCAAAATGAATCAGAATTAACCAGCCTGTTTTTAACACTTCACACTCTACTATATCAATTTACATTAAAATGGTAGCAAGTCAACTACTGCAGGAAGTTATTTTTGTATATCCTTCCTTTCATATAACTCAGTTAATTATGTCTATGAATTATCCTCAGGACCAACCATTTTTGCAAGAAACTAAATGATTAGTTTAAATTGTTAAAACTTCACTTTAGGGTCAATTCAACAAAAATCTAAAAGTATATTTGTAAAGTGCTTTCAAGTTCCAAAGTACTTCCACATACAATCTCTTGTTTCAACCTAAGCTCTGTCCCCTCTGTAAAATATAGCCTCCTTGCTATAGTCACTCAATAAAGTTAGGAATTTCCTCAATGAACAATGGATTTAGAGAACAGTAAATCTTTAAAATGGCTACAAAGTCAATTTAAGTTATTTATAAATTAGTAACTTATGCTAAAATAATGATAATTGAATCTGGATAATCTTGGAAAGTGAGAGTGTTTATTTAAGGAACAAGATTTCACAAATTTTAATCTTTGTTGAAACAAAAAGTGTTGGAAAGTATAGATAACCTCTATGAAAACTTGTCCTTTCCAAGATACCACAGGGCACAGGCAGCTATAGAAGACCTACATCAATATCATTAAGGTTGTCTTCAGCAGTTAGGCTCAGACAATACCTTGAAACCAATTTTGGGGTATTCTTTATAGAATAAAATAAATCTGTTCCAGAAAAGCTGATTATGAATTAAATTCTTGGAAACAGAATTATATATTATAATGCATGGTTTGAGTAGTAATGATGATCATGTATGCGCATGTGCATGTGTATTAGGGGGCTCACAATTTAAAGATCTGAATAGAATCCTTTGGCAAGCTAAAGCATCATTTTGTCCTTTTAATAATCATTCTTTAATGTGTCTGTGCTGCAAATGTGAGTTTTTGTATGGCAAGTTTTCTAAAGCAGAGGGAGAAAGGGGATGGAGGGCAACACCTGCACTAAATAGGAAGCTTGTTAGGTGACTGTTGTGATCAGTCCCCAACTTGTTCTGCCTGATCAAGCACAGTGGGCAGAGATCCAATCACAAAAGCATTCCAGAAAGCAAGCAAAGCAAAAGTCTTCACTAAACTGACTACTGGGATGAAAACTGCTGGGGTCCATCCCTTCCCTTCACTGGGAGAGAAGCATATTTTACTACAGAGGAAAGGCACTTGAGACTATGGAAACATCACCTTCTGAAATTATTTCTTGAGAATGTCTCCAGATACACTGATAACAACATTGCACAATGTACACAGTAGATTTACTCAAAATCTTATTTTCACTTCTGACAGCCCCTACTTTTCCTTATTTCTTCCTTTGGTAAAGGGATCCTTTAAAAACCTTCAAATGTTGCAGGGTAGGCTGCCCCTGAGGTCAGGTCTTCCTCCAGCCTTATTATCTTGCTTTCCTAGATTTCCCAGAAGACACCTCAATGAGATGTTTAAAATGCTTTTTAAACCTTTGAAACAATATTCATACCCCTTATCAAGTTGTCACCACACACTTTTTGGGGAGAATTATATGAAGAAAATGAAGCACAGGGAAGGTGACTTGCCTGTCTCTACTAGTGGCAGAGAAAAAGAACACTCAAAGTTTCTGGCAATTTGTCCTGTGTGTAAAAACAAAACAAACCAACACAAAGACACTTTCCAGAGCCAAATACTCTCTTCTTTTAATCACTTGTTGTTTTGTATTATTTATGCTTTGTTCCCTCTAGACATTCATGGTAACAACTGAAATTTAACCTTCTTGGTAAATCACTTCAAACTAATATAAGGATGACTGATTTTAAAAAGTAACTTTCAAAGTTACTAATACAAATGCTAACAGTTTATTATTACTGTTTGATATTCTGTGTTCTTATTAAAATCCCTGCAATTAACAATGGGCATTTATAGAAAAACACTCATTTTAAAACTAGTTCTAGGGATTTCATCCAAAGTGTCCTGTTTGCATAAATCATTAAGTGTTAGGATATTTGAAAGCATCCTTATGCTACATATTCTTAAATGATAATTGGTTCTTTCTAGATAAAGAAATAATGATTAGATTAAAGCTTAAGTTTTTGCAAATATCACAAGATATTCCATACATAATCAAAACTGTATTCTATTTTCCATGCTAAATAGGCACCAGCTAATGAAATATTAACTCACTTTCCCCTAACACCTTAGACATAGCAGCGCATCAATTCATTAAGCAATAACCATTATCTTTAGGGAAATTAATTTTAAAATTACCGACCTCTTTGGGGAGAGTCGAACTTCTTGCCATCAGGTCTGGCCAAGTCCATTCTCAGGTACATGTAGTCGTCTTCAGAATCTTCTTGCTCAAGGGTTCTTGGTAACCAGCGGCGAGGTTGTGGTGGCGGCGAGGCAGCTGCAATGGCAGCCCTGCCAGCCCCGTTCTTACCTGGGGCAAGGTCTGTAGATGGGTTTGGGGCTCTAGGGTTCGAGCCACCCGCAACGACCTGGGTACCCCTTACTGCTTCAGCACCAGAAGCATTAGCAACAGGTTGGAACCAGCAGACCGAGTCAGAGTTAAATCCTGCAGCAGCCTCAAAGCCCACAGCGGCTGCACCCATGCCTGGGGCCGCAGAGAGGGGGGAGGCGGCGGCTAGAGCCCGGCCCACGGCTAAGGTTGGCGCAATGACCACAGCAGCGGCCGATCCTAAGGAGTCATAGAGGTCTATCTCCAGGCTGTCGGTTGGGAAAGCGGACACAGCGGCTCTGGCGGATGCAAAGAAACTTTGCGAATGGTTTTGAGGGCGCCTTTTCTCTAGCTCTTTTTCCTGCAGCAGCCTTGCTACAGGTGGTGGTTCGAAGCAGCGGCTGGGGGAAAGAGCAATGTCCATACAGCACTCAAAAAATGGGTCGACCACATAAATTTGACCTGTTTCAACATCATAGCGAATGGCATGGTCGGCAAAAGGCAAGGCTGGTGTCATTGCTGGGTTGAACATCATTTCAATGTACTCACACTCTTCCTCATTAGCATTGCTACCAGTAGCACCAGTAAGAAGAGGCAGAAGTGGCCACCTAGCACCGCCCAGAAAGAAGCGGCTGGCACCTGGAATAGCTCTTAAAAGGTTTGAGAGGACGTTTGCTGTATTTCGAAATGGTACTCTGAACTCAACATTCACGTAATGAGAAAAGGCTGGCTGTCTGGGGTTAGCAATTATGTCCCACGAATGTGGCAGTCCTTGAGTAAAGGGGGCTGGGGTATTGCTACTTCTTTTACTAAAGTCAATGTTGATGTAGTCACTAAAGCTGTCAGCCTTTCTCTGTTCACGTGTGAGTTTTTGTGGTTTTGGCTCAATTTTATTTCCTTTTGTAATAAAAGAAAGTCTGTTAGGTCTCTTAGCCTTGTCCTTTGGGAGCCCATCATCTGAAGGCTTTGAAGTTGAACCCCCATCCCCAGCCTTTGAGAATGACTGGAGGGCAGCTTCAAAACCCTCAACTGAAGGCTTTGAAATTGCATATTTTGGGCCCCAGGTTGAAGATGCTTCTTTGCCTAGGCCCTTCCCCAGTTTTCCAGATAACATTGGTACATACTCACTCTGGTCACTCTGTCCCAACCAGGAGTTCTGAAAAAGATTTGGCAGAGAGAAGTAGGAGCTCCAACTTTTGGAGGAGAATCCTCCCTGAGGATTATGGTTTTTTGGGGGAATTGCACCAGCTCCAGGAGCCATAAACATGTAATCACTGTCACTGTCATTGTCCTTAGAGTCATCCTCTTTATCAGGATCAGATGCTTTTGGAGGAATTGGGGCAGGTGGTGGGCTCACTCTAGGAAACATCATCATGTACCCTCTTGAATCTTCAAAAGGGGATCGAGAGTAGCACTTTATTGAAGCAGAAACATTTTGAGGAGCCATTGGCATATACTCACTGGAGTTTTCCAGAGGGGCAGCCACCCCTGGCCTCATAGGCACATATGGGTCATCCTCTTCATCATCAAAAGCTCTAGCTCTGTGGGGACCTCGAGCTCCACCTTCCAGGGTCTCTGCATCTTTGACTTCTTTGGCCTCTTTGTGTTCTATTGTGGCTGATCTGTCAGCACAAAAATAAAGTCGGAAACTTCCTCCAGACTTCCCTTTTCCACCAGTTGCTCCAGCTGGTGGGGGTGGAGGTGGAGGGGGTGGAGGTGGTGGCATTTGCTGTTGCTTGCTTTGAATTAATTTGCCAAAGTAGGATCTTTTCTTCAGAGATTTTGCCCGTTCACCATTGCCATCAGAGTCTATCCCACTTCCTGAGCCTTTGACCCCTCCAGAGTTCTTGCCACCACCTGAATTATGGCCACCTCCTGGTCCCTGGCCACTACCTGAGCCATGCCCACCACTGGCTCCCTGGCCACTGCCTGAACCATGCCTGCCTGTGAGAGCCTGGCAGTCTCCTGAGCACTTGTTTCCTCTTGCACCCTGGACCCCTGAGCCCTGGCCGCTTGAACCCTGACCACCACTGGAGTCCTGGCCACCTCTAGAGCCCTGCCCCCTGCCTGAGCACTGGTTTCTGCCTAAGCTTTGGCTACTGGAGCCTTTGCTACTTGAACCCTGGCCATTTCCTGAGCCCCAATTGTTCATGGGCATGTAGTCACCTGCATTTCTTTCTTGACCCTCTTGGCCTTGAGGATTGCTTTCTTCGCCAGAGTTGCCAGGACCGGAGCCAGATGCTTCAGAAAACAGGCAAGGCCTGTCGCTGGGGGCTTCTGCAGTCTGCAGGATACATACAGGGCTGGGTGCTAAGCGTTGAAAAAAGCTGGCTGGCACTGAAATCGCTCTCCTGGACCTGCGAGCTCTGGGCAGGTGCATTCTTCCTCGCCTGGAGTGGGTCATCGGCTCACTGGGTGTTACGTAGTGTTCAGTGAGGAGCATCTCATCTTCCCCATCACTGATGGCCCTGAAGTGGCAAAACTGCTCAAAGCGGGACCTTCTGAGCCAGCCGCCGGGCTCGAGAGGCAGCATGTCCAGGTGCTTCCTAGTGGACAGCAAGGTTAACAGGTGGGTCCCGATGCTGATGCTGTAGCTGCGGCAGCGGGCTCGGTATTCGTCTGCACACAAGGCTCTCATCTTCTCCAAAAAGAGCTCGTGCATGTTTTGGGCCACTACACAGTCATCGACCTGCATCCAGAGCTCCCCCGGACCGATGACGGTGGACCTGCCAACTTCCAAGAAGAAATACTGCTGGGAATGCCCGCAGCGACGGATGCTCAGGAGCTGGACGACCACACTGGCCACTTCGGTATTCAACCTCACAAACACAACCTCCTCATCGGTAAGACAGAGCCGGAACACGCCGCTCAGCTCTTTTCTATGCCCCAGCCCCCTGGGTTTGACTATTACCTGCCACACATCTTTATAGAAGGGTGGCTCCGCTGCCGCTGCAGCGGCCAGTGCGGCCCGCTCTCCAACCGGCTGCACGCAGGGCGTGCCGCAGCGGCGGCGTTTGCTTTCGAGGATGAGGCGGCTGAGCAGCAAGTACCAGCTCTCTTGCTCTAACTCGTTTTCGGCAACCATAGCGAAGTACTCGTCTTGGGTGAAAAGAGCGATGAGGTGTTGGTACCTTGCGTCGGCTCGCTGGCTCACCGAGAAACACTGGTACAGGGTGATCACGCGCCGCGGTGGGATCAGCACTGGGGCCGCGGCGCCAGAGGCGGCAGCCGCTGCAGCAGCTGCCGCGGCGCGGACGCTGTGGCGGAACTTCCTGGCATTTTCATAGTATTCAAGCCGAGCTGGGGCGTCGGCGGTCTCGAGTTTGAGCACGAAGTAACGTCTGTGCCCATGCTTCTGCTTCCGCAGATAGCCGTGTTTGCAGACTTCGTCGCCGACGGGGAGGTCCTCCTCATCGGACTCGGAGTGTGACCGGGAGCCAGTGGCTGTAGAGAGCCACATGGCTCCCGGACAAGAAGACCCGGTCCCAATGAGTGCGGTTGGAGTTCCCAAGGAAAGAAGCGGGATGGTCGCCACTGCAGCTAGAGCTGCCGCTGTAGTCGCTGCTGCTGCTCTCAGTCTCCTTGTCGCTGGGTCTTGAGCGAAGGAGCAACTCGCCATGGTGATGCTGGATGGTTTTAAGGTGAGCGGGGGGGGGGGGGGGGGGGGGGGGGGGACTCCGGGCTGGGAGGGTTGGGGGAAGAGCCCCCTCCCTCCTCTTCCCGCGCCCCCGCCCACTTCACTCCGAGCGCGCACAGCGGCGGGCAAAACAACACGTGATCTCAGCCTCACGCTGTGGCTATTTGGGCTCCTGCTACTAGCGCAGTGGAGGGGCAGGAACTGCAGCCGGTAGAGTTGTGCAAGGGAGGGGGATGCAGTCTTGAGAGGCAGGGCCACCTCCAACCCAGCCTAGAACCTCTAAGTGAATCTCCTGGCCTGTTGGTCAGCAGGAGACCAATTGGAGGAGGTGGGGTCCTCTTGCCACCCTGGTTCTAACCGGGAGTCCACTAAGGCACAGAAGGGCGGGAGAATGCCTTGAGAAAGCCTGGAAGAAAGGAGAAAAAAGTGGCTAGTGATCAGGTCCAGGTGGGGGCGCCACAGCCCAGGCTGTATTGGCTGGAGGGTGCTAGCAGTGACTGGAAAGAGGGAAGCGCAACTTTGTGGGGAAGCGCCAGGGAGGAGAACTGGTACTGTAGCAGGACGGTTTGTTTGTTTATTTGGGAAATGGGAGCCAGGTAAAACTGTTGCAAGATTCTCATTGGATGTGATGGGAGCCAATGGGAGTGTATGGGAGAAAAGCGGCCCAGAATTAATTAGTTTGGAGGGCAGAAAAGATACTCTGGGGCAAGGGGGCGTGGCTTTGTCTAGGAGTGGGCTCCCTGTCTAGTTGTTGCCCATTCAAGTAGTAAACAACACTCTCTCAAGTAGCTGTTAATGGTAGTGATAAAATCATGTAAATCCCTGAGCCACGATGACCCGGGTACCAGACCCAGCCAAGCGTCTCTTTTTAAACCTGTCCCTCACATAAATTCTCTATTCCTATTACAGTTTGGTCCACTCGCTCCCGCCGCTCATCATCTTGAGCTGGGCCTCTTGTGAGAAAGTGTAGGTATCCCCCTGGAAAAGTGTTAAGGACCATGGCTCTCAGACCTACAGCTCACCGCGCTACAGGCCCTCCTGAGCCCGCTCTAGCCCTGACAAAAGCCTGCGGCTCTAAGGCACAAGAATAACAAGGATGCCTTCAAAATGAACATCATCTTTAACCGCAGGGCACTTCTAGCCCAGGAAACACAGGTTGGCTAAAGAGGGTATTTCTGGCTAACTGATTAATGGTGCTAAAGAGGGTATTTCTGGCTAATTGATTAATGGTGACTGAAAACACAAATTTGGGGGGGGGGGGCTGCAAAGTATACAGCCATGTGGGGGTTAAAATCGGACTCGAGTCTTACGGAAAAACACCAGTGTTGAACTGCAGTGATATTTTCCCGTGGGAGATACTTTGAAAGCCGCCTTTAAGAAAATTTCAAAATAATGTTAATTTTCCCTTTCCTTGAATGAAACTGAGAAACTTTAGAGAAAGAAAAGCTCGTACCTAGAACAAAGGATCATATGAAATACATATCCTGCAATGTACTTTGCATCCCTCGCCTCAAGGGAAGAATTTTTCGGAATTTCAGTCTACAACTTGATACCACAAAAATAAAGATTACTGCCTCCCTCATTTCTGGAAAAAACACTGGAGTGTAAGTTCGACCTCCTGAAGTGTTTCTCAGTCTCTCAATCATGCCTCCTTTCTCTCTCCCTCTCTCTCCCTCCCTCCCTCCCGGTTTCCTCTCCCTCTCCTGTCCATTTGTCTCTCACTAAGATTTTAGGAAATGGGTCCATATTACATTAAAATGTCAAAGGAGCGGCCACAATTTCTAAGACCAAATTGGGCTAAGGGAAATGGGGGTAGACATATGATATTACTTTCTAAAGAATAAAATCTTGGTTCATCTTAAAGTATAAAATAATATATTTTATGTTATTTATAAAAGATAACAGTAAACTAGGCAATGCATGCGTGCATCATAAAAATAAACCCCATCTCTGCCCTGTTAAGAATTTGTTCTCTGTTAGAAACAGAATAAATATATTTCAATGAATGGCTCCTTTTTGAAGCTCCCATTCCGTGAAAAAAGAAACTGGTTTTTGGTAGTCCCCTAAGTATCAGAAACAATCATAACATTTCTTCTGCTGCCACAGGTTTATAAGGGCAGTATATTCACAGGTGCTAAAAGCAGCCATGGTTTCTGAAAGGAGCTAGAGATAGAATGAATGTGGATGCTGAGAAAACCCTGACTGGAAATGCTGCCTATATGTTTCAGCTGCCTAGTCACATATGTAGAAGATTCCTTATACTTATAACCAAAATGATACTGGATAAAGTAATTTGAGATTTTTATAATAAGCATGATATTTCACAAGTCTTTCCAAGCACAGGGTTTTGCTTTAAATAGAAATGTTTTGAAAACAATGCAGTACATTTGCAAGTGCTTTGAGTAAAAACATGACATTTTAAATGTATTTGAAAACATTAAACTGCATGTTAAATAAAATTTGGAAAATTCTGAAAATAATAGATTTTAAAATTATCATTATTTATAAATTTTCATATAGGGTGGTAGGCTTACAATGTATATAATGTGTCTTGTTTTTTTGTTTTGTTTTGTTTTGTTTTTTCATTTAACACAATGATAACATGTCCCCATATTATTACTGAGGAGCCTAAACATCATTTTAAATTCAGGAAAATATTCCAGACAGAAGTGTATTAATGCTCTTAATCATTCCTATGCTTTGAGGTATTTAGGTTGTTTTTTATTTTATATTATAAATAATGTTGTGCCCTGGCCGGTTTGGTTCAGTGGTTAAAGCACCTGTCCGTGGACTGGAGAGTCCTGGGTTCGGTTCCTGCTAAGGGCATGTACCTCGGTTGCAGTTAGTCCCCGGCCCTGGTTGGGGTTGTGTGGGTGGCAACCACTCCATGTGTCTCTCTCATCAATGTTTCTCTCTCTCTCTCTTCCTTCCTCTCTCTCTCCCGCTCTATCTGAAGATAAATGCAAAAACAATGTCCTCGGGTGAGGATAAAAATAACAATGTTGCAATGAACATCTTGTACATATAGCTTTTTTAATGCTTAGAATTATTCCTTTGGAGTGGAAATGAAAGAGTGGAATTATTGAATTAAAAGGTATGAACATTTGATGTATTATTTTTTTATCCTCACTCGAGGACATTTTTACATTCATCTTCAAATAGAGCGGGAGAGAGAGAGGAAGGAAGAGAGAGAAACATTGATGTGAGAGAGACACATCTAGTGGTTGCCACCCACACAACCCCAACCGGGGACGGGGATAAACTGCAACCCAGGTACCTGCCCTTAACGAGAACTGAACCCAGGACTCTCTGGTCCGTGGGTAGGCACTCTAAACACTGAGCCAAACCTGAGCCAATAATACAGTCAGGGCTGTATTATTATTTTCTAATTGTATCATTTTATCCTGTCACCACACTGATTGCCAGATTTGAGCATTCTTTTTTTTAATCACCAAAAAGGTGAATCAAATGGTACAGTATTTCACTGTTCTTTTAATTTGTATTTTTTTACTAGTGAGTTTAAAAAGACATTTATATATTTGCTGACCATAGATTATCTTGTGTCTTATGTTCTTTACCTTATCAATTAAAGTCTTAGTGTTTTTGCGTATGTATGACTTGTTTACATAATAAAAATATTACAACTTTGCCGTATTTGTTGCTAGTTTTCCCACAGTCTATTGATGAAAAAACTCACACTTAAAACTGACTCTCTTCTATTTTGAAAGGTATGTAAATTAGGAAAAATGAGGTTTATAGTACAGTTTAGAAGGGAGCTATTGACAACCACAAATGTCACTATGGTCACTTCCAACCTTCTCTTAATCCATCATATATCTAAGCTTATATGCTATTGTAAAAAGAGAAGTAACTTTGTTCTCACATCAACAAACTATAAGAGTGCATCTAAATCAATGTGTTAAAAACAGAAGTGTGAAAATAATTTTAAACAATTACAGTGAAAGTTTAACAATGCTGATCATTTGTACCATAGGTGTATTATTTTGCTGCAAAAAAAATGGAATTAGAGATATAGAGAGATATTTCATAGAAGAAATTTACTTTGTATCTCTACTAAAATAAAAAAGAACTGGGCAAATATTAGTATTGTAAACAGGGAAAATGTGTGGTTAGAATAATGTTATTTTCTTTACATAAGTTAACCAAAGTTCAGTTCTAAAATTTGTCCAACACTGAAGGTCTCTAGAAGAGATCATCATTACTAAATTGCACCAGATGCTACAGATTGTCTGACATATATTTAAATTTTAATTTTCCTGGACAACTTAATGATAGAGACTAGTTGTTTAGTTTAGGATAGGTTTCCTTGGGAAAAATAAGGTGGAGATGTGGTACAGCCATCTAGATGGTTTGGGCAAAAAGAAAAGACTGTATCTGGCCGGAACTCACCAGATGGATGCTTTAATGCTCTACTCTTCTTTGGTTATAGATTCTTGTCTCTCAATTATTTTGTTTTTATGTTTAGGACAAGTTACCCCAGAAAGCCAAAGTTCTTTTACATATCTAATAATTTCTGTAAAGTTTGGACTCTGAACTAAGAATCTCAAACACACATTTTAAAAACAACAGATTAAAAGTAATAAAACCTGCAATATTCCTTATTTGTTTGCCAGTTTAGCTGGGGAAGGGGGGAAGCAAGCATTTCAGCTGGTATTTTACACCTAGAAACTAAAGTAAATGGATAAATATAGTCACAGTAATTTTAAATCAGTTTCTATGTAATAAAGAAATATGCCTTTAAAGGGGTTGGTCTTTAAAAAGAGTTTCATATGAATCGTGATTTAAGAAAGTAGTTGTTTAATTGAATTGAGTGGTCAGTCGTAACAAAAACTCATCTTTTTTCCTCACATGCACGATCATCAATAGTCTAAACTCCAACTTACTAAAATCAAAATAGATAATAAAAGTTTGAATTTCTTTAGCTTAAAAATTAAAATGGATGTTATTCAAGAGAAGAAAGC